TGAATAGACAAAATCTTTTATCACAATACTCTACGTCATTTGCTGCTTTGAAATGGTGTCACTTTTCAATTGTAAACGTTCCGTTTTTGTGTTCCTAGCCAAATTAGGTCATACAAGCAATTCCAGGTTTGCACTGAGTTGCAGATCGGGTCTCTTGGCTCATTTGGCACTCTGGGTCAGAAGACTGTGGGTCAGAATTTTTAACTTGTATTGTCCAGGCTGACCAACAGTTCTGAGCCAATTGAGCCTCTGAGCCAATAACCCTCTGAGTTACTTGGCCCGCTGAGCCACTTGGACCACTGAGCAACTTGGCCCTCTCAGCAGTGGGAGCTCTGCATTGACCGAAGTGCCTTCTCTTGGACAAGACTTCAAACGCAGGTTCTGTCAGCCTGTTGAAGGGCGGTAACAATCTAGTGGCAGAACACGAAAAGAGTAGGGTATTTTTTTTTCCAGGTGTCCTGGCCAAAAGTACTTCCAGACAAATTGGTCATTCAATTGATGGCTGTTTATGGGGTAACTTGGCTGCTCTATCTCTCTCTGTCTGCCTGTCGCGCTCTCCGTCTGTCTGTCTGTCTGCCTGTCGCGCTCTCCGTCTGTCTGTCTGCCTGTCGCGCTCTCCGTCTGTCTGTCTGTCTGCCTGTCGCGCTCTCCGTCTGTCTGTCTGTCTGCCTGTCGCGCTCTCCGTCTGTCTGTCTGCCTGCCTGCCTGTCGCGCTCTCCGTCTGTCTGTCTGTCTGTCTGCCTGTCGCGCTCTCCGTCTGTCTGTCTGTCTGCCTGTCGCGCTCTCCGTCTGTCTGTCTGCCTGCCTGTCGCGCTCTCCGTCTGTCTGTCTGCCTGCCTGTCGCGCTCTCCGTCTGTCTGTCTGCCTGTCTGTCGCGCTCTCCGTCTGTCTGTCTGCCTGTCTGTCGCGCTCTCCGTCTGTCTGTCTGCCTGTCTGTCGCGCTCTCCGTCTGTCTGTCTGTCTGCCTGTCGCGCTCTCCGTCTGTCTGTCTGCCTGCCTGTCGCGCTCTCCGTCTGTCTGTCTGTCTGCCTGTCGCGCTCTCCGTCTGTCTGTCTGCCTGCCTGTCGCGCTCTCCGTCTGTCTGTCTGCCTGCCTGTCGCGCTCTCCGTCTGTCTGTCTGCCTGCCTGTCGCGCTCTCCGTCTGTCTGTCTGCCTGCCTGTCGCGCTCTCCGTCTGTCTGTCTGCCTGCCTGTCGCGCTCTCCGTCTGTCTGTCTGCCTGCCTGTCGCGCTCTCCGTCTGTCTGTCTGCCTGCCTGTCGCGCTCTCCGTCTGTCTGTCTGTCTGCCTGTCGCGCTCTCCGTCTGTCTGTCTGTCGCGCTCTCCGTCTGTCTGTCTGTCGCGCTCTCCGTCTGTCTGTCTGTCTGTCTGTCTGTCGCGCTCACTGTACCATGGGCCATAAATAGACTTTTTGATTGAACAAAAAAAGGCCTGTGGCTAGTTTTAAAAATGGATTAAAACACTGACAGTGGATTTCAAGGTAAGGTGTTCATTCCCACTCACATGTCGTTTGCCTACTCGAATGATGGGTGCGCTGTACGTCAAGGAGGAGGCTTACACTAAAACGTAATCAATATTAAAAGGAGTCTAAAAATAAGATCACACAATCAGATGATGAGATTCAGGTGAAGAAGTCCCTTCAGTCCAAATGCTGTGCGCAATTGGCTGCCGAATTTCTCCCACAAAATACATAGTCAATCCACTTTAGCTGTAAATCCTGTGAAGCGCTTTGAGATGTCTCAAGGACATGATAAGATGCTATACCAAATGCAAGATATATTATTATTATTGTTTGATCTAATTCCTTTCAGAATTTTTTTGGGGTCAGCCGGTGTCTGCTTAACCATGCTTAAGAGTATCCAAACCAGAGGTCCATGCACTCCACTTATGTATGGAAATTCTTGTGTAATGGAATGGAATAGCCTTCCAGAGTTCCCACAGAATTGTGTCTGCCCATCACGTCACAACTCCCCCAGTCTGGCAGCATATTAGGCTTTAAATTCTACCTGGTCTTATTCTGTAAGACCATTTGAAAGATTGCGCAGAATTCTTGAATTCGATCTTAATTTGGAAGCTGATTTTCCACTGGATTTAAAGGCACTAAAATGGAAGGATTTTCCACATCTCTGCACAAGTTACATTTTAAGACAAAATGGCCTGGCTGTCAGGCTAAGATTCGGAATTTCAGATTGATGGAGTCTCTCGAGCTAAGTTAGTTTCTACATGTAATATCCACACACACACTCACACCCCCCACACACACACACACACAAATTGCAGCCTCGAGCTTCTGACTATGTTTCTGTTTGAACAGCCTCGAAACTAAATCCAGCTTGAGATTCCTTGCTGTTAACCTTTGTGAATGTTCAGAGCATGAATTATTCATGTAAATGGTCTGCTTAACATCTCATTAGTTACTAACTACCTGTATCTAGGTACTGTAAATGTCACAATGCCCCAATACTGTAAACACAGCAGCTTATTTCCCCAAACACAATTACAATGGATTTTTTTTAAATAAAAGAGCCTCTGCTCTCAGGCACGGATGATGAAATCCTGCGTGCTGAAACGTCTCTATTTTCAGCGCTGGTATTAAGCCCGTGCGCTGGCTGCAGGCGTGTTCAATTAGGAAAAGTCAGCTTCACACGTCAGCTGGACAGTTGCATCCAGCGCTAGAAACCGAATGCTTGGTTTTAATTACATATTAAAAATAGTTGAAAAGATAGCATTTACACTTCAGAGGGTCTGTCGACACTGCACAGGAATGTGAAACAGAAGGCTGTTCCAGTTTGTGGCCTGGCCCATTGAAATGGTAACATTTTGTTTGTGGGATACCGCTGTGCGCAATTGGCTGCCGCGTTTCGCCCACAAAATACACAGTTACTACACTTTACAATGCATCCCTGTGAAGCTCTTTGAGATGACTCAATGATGTGATAAGGCGCTATATCAAATGCAAGAATTATTAAGGATATTTATTATTAACATCACTTTGGTAACGCACACAGCGAGTGGGAGAGGAAAGGAGGGAGGGTTGCATTTTGGCAGCAGAATGAAAATGGTCCCAGAGTAAAAAGGCACTGAAATGTCAATGCTATGTACATTGGAGCTGAATTTAGCAGAACATGCAGTTTCTCCCAGTGCCCTGACAATTACTTTTATTACATTGGTCACTCACTTTAAGGCTGTTTGTGGGACTGCCCTAGTTGCACAGAACACCAAAGAGCATGGTTTCTTAAGGCAACACTGACATGACTTTGTTAGTTCCATTCCTGTGCATCGACTGCACACAACTACACCTTGGCTGATAGTCAGTCATCTTCTCTAACAGCATTTTATGAACTCCAATTTAATTTTTGTTAGTCAGTGCTTGGATTGTTATAAATATAGCTCAGGGCAGGAAGTGCTCTTAATTCTCAGTTACATTTCGCTTATTATTCATGAAAAGCCTCTTACAAAATGTTCGTTGAGGAACTGTTCTTGAATTTGTGTGTTTCCTTGTGGACTCTGCAAACATACCAGTAGACAGAACATTACAGCTCAAGGACAAGGCACTGTGCTGATTGATGCCTTTCTCTATATGAGCCACATTTACGTGGAACTTTAAAGATGGGGATTGAAAGAGGGATGAAAAAACACAAGTGGGAAGAAACATTGTACATCCACACACTGCGCTTTACAAAGAGACTTTCTTTTAAGAACAAATCCACTCAAGTTCTCCTTTTCCTCCATTTAAAACTAAGTGGTGCAAATAGCCTACGTTTAAAGAAACAAGTGATGCTTAGGATTCCTTATCCTGGGGCCGACCGTCCATCATGTGTAAGTTGTCCAGACACACTGATGGCTGAAGAGATTATCATCATAGTTAGCGAGCTCCACTCCTCTATGTATTGCAGAGTTATGCTAGTTTATACCAAAAATCTTTACAAAACGCTCAAAACATAACATTTCTCCACATTTAAAAAAAAAATCCTTGCCTTTATATAGCAACGTTCACATTGGGGAGGGAACTTTCACAAAGGATAAACTGTAAAGTTCAGCAAACTATATTTTGTAGGTGAATAACAGTTAAGCAATAATAACCTTTGAGCTAGTTTTGGGATCTAAAATGCATGATAGGCAAATGCGTTAACTATGCTCAAGCGCATGCAGGTACCATTAAAATTAACCAATGAAAAGATGTACAGAATCACCAGTGATCATTTTCCTTAAAGCTAACATACCTGATTTACACCTGTATGCATTTCAATAGAATGAGCTCATGGGCTATTAATGGGCTATTAATAATAATGGTCTTGGCATTCGATGTAACATCTTATCACGCTGTCAAAACATCTCAAAACGCCTCACAAAATTTACTGTAAAGTGCAGTGACCATGTATGTTATAAGCAAATAACAGCAACCAATTTGCGCACAGCAAACCAAGCATACGATTAAAACCAAACGATGTTGCAAAGTCTTATTCGCATCCACCATTATTGTAACAGCACCACTCCATAGTTTTCCCCCTTCCTTAAACATAATTTTATTATTGGACAACCTTTAAGGACAAAGCATAACAAATACCACAACAAAACAATATTCAAATCAATTACATTTTGCCCACAAATACAGTTAATTCACTTTACAGTCTTTTCTGTGAAGCGCTTTGAGACGACGAGAAGACGTGAAAAGTGCTATATCAAATGCAAGGATTATTATTATTGTTATAATCCAAAGGAATACAGGTCACCGTTTTCATTCATTGATGTTAATCACTAAATGTATTAATAATAATCCTCGTGTATGATGCAGCACCTGATCCTGACTCTAAAAGTCTCAAAGCTCTTTACAGGGTTCACTGTAAAAGCATAATACTGTGCACTAGTAGGTGAAATAACATACAGTCTCTATTCCAATCTCTCCTGGCTGCACAATTACGATTCATCCCTAAACAGTTAGTTAATGGTTAAGGACATCATGGCGCCCGAGACATGTCTTTTCAGGAAGCCTCTGTACATACCCCCAAAGACATCGCCATTTTGGTAGCTCTTTCCCTTCTGTGCTTCCTCCTCGTTTTGAACAGTAGAGACATGCTTGGCTGAGGCACAGCCCATAGTTTTGTTTACGCAAATGGCTTCGATGTGCACTGCCCGCAGATCATCTCTAAGATGAATTTCCTTCCCTCCCCGTTAGATGCTTGCAACCTGCGGACAAACAAATCAAAAACAGTCTTAAAATCTCCGAGCTGAACGCCTCTCTCCTGCCCGAGCAATACAAATATCGCGCCGGTGCCTGGCCTGCTGTCAGCCGAATGGAACTGAAAATGAAAATCAGCGCTCAAGTCTGCCAAACGTTCTCCTGGAACAAACAGGAAGCGCCTCGCTTGTAATCACCCATCAGTCATGCTGGTCGAACTGACAGCCATTTAGTGACCACAGGCCTGCTCCTCTCCCCTGACAGCTAATGGAACCGACAATAGGTGGCTGCAACAGCTCTCCCCAGTTTTACAATCAGGAAAGAAAAGAGCAACAATTTAAAAACAGACAGATTGCAGCAAAGGACACGTATGAGAAAAGGGACGACGGGGAACGAGTGGGCCTTCTGCGATTGACAAGGAAATACAAATAACCCACATGTGGCTGTAGATTACAAGAACGTTTGGCCACCAAACGTGTTGTGCGATGACTCTAAGATGTAAACCACTCATAACTACATTACTGTTGACCAGTTTTTGTTTAGGTTATAGCACAATAATAATAATCCTTGCATTTGATGTAGCGTCTTATCGTGTCCTTCAATCTCAAAGTGCTTTGCCGAATATATTGCAAAGGGCTCTGAGATGCTGCCCCACATGTAGGGCGCTCTATAAATGGAGGTTGTTGTTGTAGTAGAGTGGATTGACTGTGTATTTCGTGGGCGACAAAGTTACCTTTGTCCGGTGTGTATGTTGCGCGGGGGTGCGCTTGAGTGCACGTGTACGTGAGTGCACATGTACGTGAGAGCGCGTGTCTGCACGAATAAAGTACCTTGAATGCGTGCTTTAACTTCTGCAGGGGTGCACCGCTCTAAATGGGGTTGATGGCAGCCTGAGTCACAATGAATGGGTAAGTTCCGGCCATGTACCAACCGCATGTACCGATAGTTAAAACTCTGGGTCCAATGAAAACCCGGTGCAACACTAGTACTCAACTGAATTCACCTCCAATAAAGGACATCTCAGTTCAATATTAAAATAAAACAGTGGAAAGATTCAGAATCTGGACAGTACGTTTCCCTCTCTAGTACCCGTTTTGTAGAGGTGAAAGATTTTAATTACATCAAAGAATTTATTTTATTCCAACAGTTACCTCGTTCATTTGGGACCATAGTTTGGGGGTGATTGAATTTCAGTGAAACGTGTTGCAATAAATTAGACCAGTCTGGGCACATATCAGACCCCACATACCCAGATATCACCTCAATCACTAAGGAGTCCTGTAGCTCAGTGGTTAGAGCACTCGCTTTGCAAGTGAGAGACCTGAGTTCAATTCCAGGCAGAGGGCGAAACCTTGGGCAAGTTTCCTTACTCCACACAGAGCCTAATAATAATCCCTCCAAAACCAATAATAAATTGGTTATTTTCAATCTACGACTGTTTGTGGGACATTGCTGTGCGCAATTGGCTGGCGGGTTCGCCCACAAATATACAGTCAATTCACTTTACAGTGTGTTCTGTGAAGCGCTTTGGGACGTCCTCCCGACGTGAAAAGCGGTATATCAAATGCAAGGATTATTATTATATTATTATCAATGAAAGAAACATCCATACGGGTTGAAAGTACCCAGTTTCAATTCTATCTATTCAAAGACTTGATTGTGACCCTCCAACATTCCAAGCAATTAATGCCAGTCTTCCACCCCCCTCATCCCACCAATATGTTGAGCAGGAAATATGGGAAAATGGCCAGGGGTGGGGGTCAGATAGCAGACACCACAGCTAAACCCAATCCAGTCTTCCTCTAATACTCACGCATGCACAATTCTCTCAGTAAATGCCACTCAGTTTTCCATTGATTACCACACTGGGATACTGCTGTGCGCAATAGCTGCTGCGTTTCGCCCATAAAATGCATAGTCACTCCACTTTACGATGTATTCTGTGAAGTGCTTTGAAACGTCTCAACAAAGTGATAAGTCATATAGAACTGACTGCAGAGCAACATTAACAGAAAGCAAGCAATCTGCTTGCCTATCTTTGTTCCAAGTGACGTGCGATCAGCGGAGAAAATAGAAGGATTCTTGGCCTCCCACGTACACCCTAAAATGATCAGCTTTGCACAGGAACTGAGCCTGCTGAGACACTACTAACCCTACATGGCTGAGCCGGAAGGTATTTTATATGAGAAAGCAAAGTGACCAAAATAAGTTACCAGAAATAATCCCAAGTGTAAAGCGAATGAGCTACAATGAAAGCTTTGAAAGATGTAAACTCCACTGCCCCTAAAGGCAGCGGCTCAAATGGGATCTGCACAAAGCATTAAATGTTATAGATATCATAAATCTAGATTATTACTTCAAATTAAACTAGAAAAGTAAGGCTAAAGGACAACAGCTCAAACAATGAGACACCGTGAGGAACTTTTTAATTCAAGAATGATTTAAACATTTGAAACAATTTGCCTGGCAGGATCATAGACGCAAAAAATATTAACACATTTAAAAGATTGCAAATATAGAGCGAGGGAGGGAGGGCAAAGGACGGGGATAATGGCAACAAAAAGGGAGAAAACTGTCTCTTCTGCTGGGAATACACACAAGCGAGTAGAAATGAATAAATAAGAAAGGAATAAACTTCTACTGTATGTGTCAGTCTGGTGCAGTGGTAGTACTCTCGCCTCCGAGTTAGAAGGTTGTGGGTTCAAATCCTACGTCTAAGTACTGTTGCATTGTTAGAGGTGCCGTCCTTCAGATGAGATGATAAACCAAGGTCCCATCTCCCCGTTGACCATTAAAGATGCCATGGCACTACTCGAAAAGAGAAGGGAGTTTCTCCTGGTGTCCTGGCCAACAATCCCGAAATAAAATTGGTCACTCGTTTCATGGTTGTTTGTGGGACATGGCTGTGTGTAATTGTACTGCTGCGTCTGCCTACAAATACCCAGTCGCTTCATTTCACAGTAAAATCCTGTGAAGCGCTTTGAGACATCCTTCTGACGTGATAAGGCGCAATACCAAATGCAAGGGGCTTCTTGCTGGCTCCCCTCCCCCATCCCATTGCGAATCACGTCTGTGAATGCGAGGCAAGGACGTGGTGCCTACAATGTCCCTCTCCTCCCCCTTCACATCACGGCCAAGTCATCAGTCTACACTCACTGTCCTGGTTCACACATGAAGAATGGTCACTTGGATGAGGTTCTGCGGGGAGGCTGGTACAGTGGAACTCTAACCCAGCCTTCAGGAGAAGAGATAAATCGGGGAAAGTGGGGGGAAGAGGGAGGAGGTAAAGAGAGAAATGGAAGGAAGAGGAGCAGAAGTTTAGCAACTTGCTAGAAAGCAGAGCTACTGAGCAAACATCAAAATATACAGCATTTTGTTGTTTTGATAGTTTAATACAATAGTGAGGATTCATGTAACACAGATAGTATGTAACATTTTGGGGTGGGGGGGGGGGGTGGAGAGAATACTCAACATGACTCTTGCATAGTGTTCTGTAAATACAGCTCCCACAATACGGAAGCTTTGACTCATTTGCCAAACCACTAGTGCTATCTTAATCGAGTCCAGGATCCACATTTGTTACTCTTGCTCTCTTGCCAGGGCTGCAACACTGTAGCACCAGTCTTGAGCCTCTCCCGAACAAGGGGCAAACTTAATAGATTGCAAGCAGATGGGATAATAAATAATAATCTTTGCATTTGACACACCTCATTATTACTTTGTCAAGGTGCCTCAAAGTGCTTCATAGGATTTCATTGTAAAGTGTAAGTGATATTGGTACACGAATACTGCAGCCAGTTTCCGCACAGCAACAGCCCACAAACAAACATGAACTGAATGACAAATCTGATCTGCGTGACGGGTGCTATACAAATGCAAGTTGTGGTTGTCCATCCGAACAGGCAGATAATACTGTTTAATGTCTCACCTGAAGGATGGCACCTCCAACAATGCAATGCACCCCCAGCATTGTATTGGAGTGTCAGCGTAGACTGTAAGTTCAAATTCCCGATTTGGGGCTTGAAACATAATTCTGCATATGGCATGTTTTTAATTGTTTTTCTTTTGCATTAACTTAAGTTTACATTTTCAAGGCATTTAATACGATTGATTTGGTGACACTTTAGACTAACGGTCCTTGTATTGAATAATAGATTGATATAAATAAAAGGTAAAAACAGTAAAAGATTAATATCAACTCTGGGCCAAGAAGATAAATTCTCAAGTCCGAATCCAAAGGTAGGGAAAAGGTCGGATTCTAACCTGAACCTATAAACCACACAAGAGACTCATGTGGAGTCTATGTTGACCGACACCAGCCCTGGTTTGTTTACTCAGTCCTGTTTCATTTCAGTACATGTCTGGTATTTGAGCTACACTGACATCTCAGAACATCCATGGTTAAGTAAATAGCTCTGGTCTGCAGAAATCAGACGACCACAAGGCTGTGGGACTGCCAGCTGGAATCAACTAGTACAGCCCCATCATCAGCTGATAAATGATCCCAATCTCCCACCTGGAGCAGCATCTCAGCAGTGTAAGCAGACGGTAATGGGGTGGGTGGGTGAGTGGGAGTATGCACAACAGTGACATTGTGAGTGCCCAATGTGCTGGGGGTGCAAGTAAGCTACTGTCCTGTATCAGAGGCATATGGTTGTCTGCAGTATTAAACCTCAATATCATAACTATTACAATGCAGTCCAAGTTAGTTCTAATAAATGTTTCCTGCACACGCCTCCGTTTACTGAACAGTAACCAGGAACCCGGATTCTAGTCGATTGGCTGATCGCTTTCCGGGGGTAATAATCCCTTAAAAAAATTGGTCACTTAATCCATCATTGTTTGTGGGACACTGTTGTGTGCAATTGGTTGCTGCATTTCGCCCATAAAATATAATCAGTTCACTTTACAGGATATTCTGTGAAGTGCTTTGAGACGTCTCAATGACATGATAAGGCACTATATCAATTGCAAGGATTATTATTATTAGGATTACTATTAATATTCA